GCATTTGCAGGAACCAACAATCTGTTCTTCACAATACTTGCACCCTTTCCCCCCACCAGCAATATGTGAAGGATATATGTGAGTACATGGAAAGTTGTGGCAACTTTCCATTAACTATTAATTCAAATGTTCCACATACTTTTTGAAGCACCTTAGTAATTACTAATGTACAAAATCATGCAAAACAAAGAAATAAATTGCAGAATGGAAAGCAACACAGAATGTAATGCACTGGGTATTCATGTACAAATTCTGACTATCCTTTCACATTAGGCCTTTTATTCAGGCTCCGTGGTGGGGACCATACACATGTTTATCATCCCGTGGACTGATCAGGTAGGTATGACTTTCAGTGATGCCAAAAGGCCAAACCAGAAGAGTGAGTGGTGGAGTTCAGCTGTAAAAGGTACAAAAAGGCCCATGAAGCAAATACCAATCAGGCCACAGGACCGTGTTCCCTAGGACACTTCTTCCACTCTCCACCCTCCATCTACTGCCTTACGTGGCTCCTCCTCAGAAAAATTTACCCTCTTCTCTCCTAACGTCTTCAACTAGAGTGGAACCTTGTGAAATACCGCTTTCCATTCACAGAACAGAAAGCTACCAGATGGACAGATTCCCTTTCAGATAACACTTAGCATGTCACAGGTGTCATGGATTTGAATTAGCAAATCATTCTCATAAAAAATAATATAACCCTATGAATATATTGATATGGTATGTGAAATGTTAATATGCTATATTATTTATCATTATATTATATGATATTTTGAAATAAAGTTTCAATATAATGTATGAACCATCTTATGGACATTGTGAAATTTAGGCTTTTTATCTATTATGATCTGTAGATGTGTAGACACTCACTGAGAATATCCTAATGTCTTTTCTTCCAACACCCTACCTATAGGAATGGCATTCCATTAACTCAGGGTCTAATTAATAGAAATAAAAGACATGGTAAAAATGCAGCACTGATGTGGTGGGGCTGTGTGTGATCTGAATTGCTTCACAAAATGCTGGATTCTTGGTAAACGATGTCCAGCTGAGTTCTTTAGGTCTTTGAGAAGGAAACGCATCTCAGAGTGATCATTAGACATCACCTCGTATGCAGGAGACACACCAAAAGAGAGATGACCACTTCTGGGAAGAAGAAGTCCAATGGGATAAAGCGGTGCACAGAGCTCCACATTGTCTCCCAAAGGACAAACTGGCACAAGTTTGAATTTTCTTCTCTTAGCTCCAGAGAAATAAATTTCCCAGGAAATGTATGACAAAAGAATACTTCATTAATGAGGCACAAGGGATTTCATCCACTAGAGCCAAAGGATTGTAAATACTTCCCCTACACTGACCCAGATCTACTTGATTCATCGAAGGTGATGAGAAAACACATTGTACCTTCTAGAAGCCTCAGGAGTGGGTTCACCTCCACATTCTTCCTGGGGGCACAACCTCTGACTGTAGCAGTGGCACATGGGAGAAACAGCACTGGTGAAGTCTGCTCTGGATGAGGTGCAACATCTTTGCCGGTGCCCAGAGATTGATGATACGTGATGGCCCTCTCTTATTGGTAGTATCTGGAGGCGGATCAACAGGTATAACAAATAAAAGCAAGTTTAATGGATAAAGTCCTGATAAGTTAGAGTCCCTGGTTCTAGAGACTGATCTGGCTACATGACAATGTCTTCTTTCTCTAGTCTGTCTTCCCCGGGGCTGGCTCTCATTCCTGCAACCTCCTTCTCTCAACAGCCTTCCTTGCTTCACTGCAGTCACGTCTCTGTTAACCTCATTCAACTAGTTGTTCACAGTCACTCACAGAACTCTTATTTACGTTAGATTATAGTCTGGACACAAAGAAATGAATAGATATTTTCCCTTCTTGCAAGTATCTTACATTCTACGTAACAGACGGTAAGTGCTTGTTTATCCCGGCGCTGCAATCCTACTGAAATGGATCATAATGTTGTTGCCCTTGCTGGGGACTTTTAGTGAAGGTTTCGCAGAGAGATGCTGGTCACACTGAGCTTTGAAGGAGGAAACAGGAGGGCAGTGATGTTAAGATTATGAAAACCATACGGCGTGCATTGTATATTGCACATAATAATTAATAACTGTTGACAATGAAAGCAAGGAATGGAAAGTGAAACATGAGTGTGGACAGGTAGGCAGCAGCCAGGTAGCACACAGCTGTATATTTTGCCTAAGGATGACAGCTCTGAAATTAGCGGAGATTCAAAGCAGAGTTAATAGCAGTCTGTCTGCAGTCAGCCTTGCCTTTGGAGATATTGCTCTGGTCCGTGCGCAGAGCAGACTCCTGTGGAAACCGTAGAGAGATGAGGAGTGGAAGAAGCACAGTAGAAGTGGGTGATGAAACTGTGAGGTTTTGAGTTATAATACATCCAAAAATCGACCAAGTAATATGAGGCAGCTTGACATGTTAAAATTATTTATTCATTTTAAAATGTAAAAA